CACTAAACAAGCAAGTTTGCTCAAAAACAGATTTACACGTACCCTTGCAGATATTCCACAGGTCAAGATCACATTCTGTAGTCTTTATCTGCTACGAAACGAACAGTACTATGGAAGATTAAAGTAACCCTTCTAGTGACTTTCATAACAAACATTTTTGCAAATGTACTTGACCTCACACATGCGCATATTTGAAATTGCTACAGAACAAAAAAATCCAGAACTGTATCTCGACTGCAATAAAGCGCTGGCAGACGAAGAAAGAAGACGAAAATCTACGCTCTAGAAATCCAAACGTAAGAAACTTGAATTTGGTTTGTTATTTTTGTTTGAAGACTAGTTATCAAGAGAAGTAAAATTTGTAGTCCAGATCGAATGGTATCATTTTGGGAGTGAAATATGGAGGAGGCTCTGACCTTTGATTCCAATATGGCGAAAATATCGTTGCCTTCCAAAATATACTGAATGAATATACACATTTAGTAACTAGGGCAAAATTTAACGAAACTAAATCATACAAAGATCATTTGCAAAAATAATAATTTCTCCTTTCACTGGTATACGACAGGTTGCGCAATGATTGTCGCATCCATTCGGACCAAAGCCTGTCCAATGTTCCATTTTTCTTGCATCAGCGCATCGTAACGCTTCTGCAGCTCGCTCTCACGTTTTTCCTAAAAAATGTAAAGGAGCTATAAGCAGCTATGTAACTTTGATGAGAATTTCTCGGATTATATTAAAGTTGATATTCGAAATGCAAAAGTGGAGGCAAACCTGCAGCGAGACTTCCTCGATCAATTTGTTGAGTCGTTTTCTGACAGCTTTTTCCTCATTTTTCTCCAGCAATTCAAAAGTTGCTTTTTCACGCTTACAAGCCTCCAATTCGGCTCGTGTTTCTTCAATCAATTTTGCAATATGCTGGCCAATGCTCTGAAAAAGTGTCACTCTTAACTAATTTAAAATCAAAAACGTGATAATAATTTACATAATAATCAACTACAGATTTCTTAGGATTCCAGTTGCCCTCCTAAGAACTTAAAATACCATTTCTCTTCGGCTTTTTTAACGAATGGAAAGGTGCAAATCATCTATGCCCCTATCGATTTTTGTCCAAAAAAAATTTCAGTCCAAATTCTCCTCTCTTCACTAAAAAATCCCTTACAATGATACTTCAAAAAGAAAAAAAAAAGATCTCGAAAAGCCTGAAAAACTAGAGTTTACCTGATAACCGGCTAATTTGACTTTAAGCTTTTTTTCCATTTTCGCGGTTTTCTTTGCTCGGGTGTTCATCCAATCTCGATAGAGCTGAAACATTTAAAGAATCAAGCTTTTTGAGCCATTTGGAAAAAAAAAGCTTAAAATCATCTAAAAAAGCTGTAGGGAATAAAAGAGATACCTGGAATTTGGCTGAAAGTGCATCAATCTGATCTTTTTTCGGCAGCACGCCCAGACGCGTGAATTTATTTTGTGCCAAAATGAGTTCTGACGAGCACTGCTCAATTATGCCCCAAAAATTTGCGTTCAGCGTAAGTTGCTCCTCCTGAAAATTATTATTTCATTCTTGCGCGTTAAAAAAAGATCGGGATGATCATAGGGCGAACAAATAATAGCAACGGCAAAAGCCTTTCACTGAAATGTTGCATCCGTAAAAACCGAAATTTATTTGCACTCACCGGCCTCAGTTCATTTTCGATGATCTTTTTGGCTGCTTGCAATTCTTCCAAAGAAAGATCCTCCAGGTGCTGTCCGTCAACATCGTGTCTCAAAATATTCAGCATCTCAGCTTTAATCAAATCATCCGCCTAAAACTATCAGATATTCATTTGGCTATTAAGTGATAAAAAAAATTCGTTAAATCCGGCAACTGAATGAAAGCATTCTGGGTGATTTCTCTTGTAACTGTACTGTACTATTTGTGCTAGAAATTTACTTATAATTTCTGGAACATTTTACCAAAGTGAAAGTTTAATCAAACATCTGTAGCTTCCTGAATTTCAGCTCTATTTTCAAATGCTGTGCATCTGCACAAGGATCTCAGAAAACAATGAAAAACCCGTGATATGAAAAACCCGCATGCACTGTTCGGTCTGTGTATACAGCTAGGGGATGAAACACAGGCTGCGTCATAAAATGTCTTCAAACAAATGACACTCAAGTGAAATTCTATTCTTCTATTTCAATACAATTAGATAAGATTAGTTTCAGAGACAACAATGAAAAGATATATGAATAACGTATGAAACAATAGCTATCATCGCACAGATATCATCGCAAATGGTTGATATATAACATATGAAACAATAGCTGGTCAAACAATCGCAGTAAATCAGCTAATATTTTTCCGAAAAGCTATTATTTTATTCATTATTAACATGCCAAATATTTCAAAAAAGAAGAAAAATCCTTTTTGCCTTCCAAACAAAATTTGCACTAATTTTGCCCTCTGCTAACCAGATTTGCCCTGATTTAAAGTCACTGTTCAGGACTACAAAAAAAAGGATGGGACATCCAAGACTCCCAACTACAGCATCTTTACTTTTCGAGCTGTGAAGCTAATCTGAGTTAAATTACAGTTTCAGCGAGATACAGGGTGGGATCCGCTAGTTCTATTTTTGTAGGGTCTTCAACGACAGACACTATGTTTCTAAAATCTCAACTTCCTAGCTTAGATTAAGGACACACACACACAAATACACACATAAACACACAAATACACACGCACAAACACACACAAACACACACGCACACACACACACACACACACACACACACCCAAACAAACAAAGCCTCGCTATTGTGCATTTTCATCAATAAAAATGCAATGGCGCATAGAAAGGGGACGAATTTAGCTCAAATTCTGTAGAATAAAACTTTTGTAAGACACAACTGCTAACAGAACTTTGGACGTACCCTGCTGAAATCGGTTTTGCTTGCAGCTGATTTGAAGCCTTGTTCGTTGATTTTGGTCGGTTTTGGCAGAGCGCGTTGCACAACCTGGGATTCCTTTTTGAGTTTCTGCAATCGTGCCATCTCACGCGCCTGTGCATTACGCGCATCCACCTGAAAATATGCATAATTAATAATATGCATATATCTGTTAATAACCACTTTTTATAAAAATATCATAAATACAGGCACGAACCAAAGTAATGAGGTGAAACTGGCATAAGTGTACATGGCATACGGCTGTACCTCAACTGTGCTGAGAGCTTCAAAACGGACAATCCTAATAGTTCCAAAGATTTTATTGAAATATTACAATGCTGCGAAATCGGACACCGTTCAAATTTCAAAAAATTCCTTAATTTTTTTAAATAATTGATCTATTTTTCTGCAAAAAGCAACTCACTTCACTAGCATCTTCAATCCATTCAGTTGTCTCCTCTTGCGATGTTTCATTTTCATCTTCCGGCAAAACAACCACAAATTCATTACGTGGCGTAGGCAGCGAACTCAGTGCTTGTTTCAATTCACGCCGTGACTCGTATTGCCTAAATTAAACATTTAATTTATGGAAAAATCTGAAATTCGCATATTTTTTTCAAACTTCAGCTTTGATTAAGAAATAAGGAACGTTCCTTTTAAAATCCAAAGAAAAACTTACTGTTGTGGAGTGTTGATGCTGAGCTGGTCTCTAAATGGCGTCCCTGGAGTGGGTGGTTCCGATGCTCCCGGCGTTCCTGAAAAAGCATAAATCCCTCACTGCATTACACTGACCAATTGCCACACGCTGACAGAAAAGATAAGGACACGAGAAGGGACCTATTCCTTCTCGAAGAAAATAAATGGCCAGCGCACCGACTGCCGGAGCGAAGATGCGTTTTTTGTACAATTCCCCACAGCTTTTTGTCGCTAACGGCACCGGTTTTTCCAGTAGACGCTTCTAACTAAAAGAATTGAAAATGGCCGTCAGGAATATCAGGAAACAGCCCCTTAAAATTCAGCTTTCTAGCATTCCTGGTTCCCGAATTCGCGACTTACCCACAAAAAAAACTTTCACGAGCTCGTATGTAGGAAGTACACATACATGGGGGATGTGTTGAAACTCATTAAAACCTACGTAGGTGAGGGACATCCCCTAAAAATTTCAGCTTTCTAGTTTTTCTGGTTTAGCAGCTTGCCGGTCAAAACTCTGGCGGGCCCATGTGAGGTCGCCACACGGGGTAAGAGCGCCCATCTTACAGATGGAGCCCGTACATGCATGTAGATTGAGTTCCCAAAGTTTCAGCCCTGTAGCTTTTACAGATCTCGAGAGGAAAAACCAGTACACACACACACACAAACAAACAAACAACCCCTCGCCCATATGAGTTTTCTGCGTTGCATACATGCAAAAAAAGCATTAAAAAACAAATAAAACAATCAACAGAAAGCGGATACTTTGCAGAACTGATGAGGGAGAAGCGGTGACATTCGATAGGACTGTATTTGGTGTAGCCAAAAAACGATTTTGCGGTAAAGCGGAGCGTAGATTTAAATCGTGCAATGGCGTATTGATGCCTCCTTTTAGTGGCGTTGGCGCATTTTGTAACACCAGTAGATTTTCAGCTTCCTAAAAATAACCATATTATCAATACATTTTACAACATAACTTATTTTTAGTC